CATCTCTCTGGCAATGCTTTCTTAATTTATTTGTTAAAGAAATTGGGTCATTTTTCCTGTACACTTGTCCATAGTCTGGATTTTGCTGATTTCAACATTGTGGTGTCACTTAACCTGTTGTTATGATCCCTGTATTCCTTGCAATTCAGTAGTTAGTTGTAGAGACATTTTGAGGTTTAAGTTCAATTTGGGGGGCAGAAGGGGAAAGACCAGTTCATAGATGGTGCTGTGTACTCCCTTCAGGAGGTACGTGATGTCTCTGTTTTCGTGATATTGCCAGTCTTTGCCCAGATCTGTTGTTTCATTAGGGGTTATAAATTACAGTGAAATGCTAATGATACTGAAATACTTCCATAAAGAGAAACTCTTCAGTAACTACTTTGATTACTCCAAGATAGGAGCAGAATTAATTCTTTCCCCTTATCTGACAGTTTTTAAAATAATGAGTTGGTTTCCCTAACATCTGCCAACGATGACTAATGAGGTTTGGTTAGTCAGTTTTTAATATCATTATGACCTTATAGGTTTCTTAACTACAATTATATTTATTCTTTTTTTTTTTTTTTTTTTTGGTACGCGGGCCTCTCACTGTTGTGGCCTCTCCCGTTGCGGAGCACAGGCTCCGGATGCACAGGCTCCGGACGCGCAGGCTCAGCGGCCATGGCTCACGGGCCTAGTCATTCCGCAGCATGTGGGATCTTCCCAGACCGGGGCACGAACCCATCTCCCCTGCATCGGCAGGCGGACTCTCAACCACTGTGCCACCAGGGAAACCCTGTCTTTATTCTTATTGATGCTCAAACTGTCCCATCTTTGGCCAATTGGAACATTTTCAAGTTGACACCTGACTCTTTTGACACAATATTTGTTGTCTGTGATAACTTCCTTACTTTCTGGAATGGTCAGATGTTCCAGGTTCATCTTGTGTATTTATTGTCCCAGACCTGGAATCAGCCATTTCTCTAAGAAGCCCTGGTTCCTTTATTCCACCCCGCCCCCGCCAAAGTCTTTGATTTATCCTCCTACATCCCTGAAAATCATCATTTTCCAGGTTAGTAGGGACAGTGCTTTTAGGGTTGGGAGACCTGACATATCTGTGGTCTGGAGGGAGGGAGAAGTGGAAGATACAGTGGCTTCGGAAAGCATTACACTCATGGGGTCCTGCTGAGGACCAGAGGATGGGTAAGATGCTTTGCATATGTTATTCCACTGAATCCTTCCAAGAACCCTGCGAGGTAGGTTTTCTCTCCATTTTACAGGTATAGGAGCTGAGAGAGGAGCTCAAGTAACTTCCCTAAATTCCCACAGCTCAGAAGGGCTGGGACCCAGATTTGAAGTTGTAATTGCTGTCAAAGCCCATCTCTTTCTTCTCTCAAGAGGAGGAGGAAGGCCTGTTGTCCAGGCACAGTGTCACACGGGTGTAGATGACTTCCCCTCGGGTGTGGCTCTGAGTGTGAGGCCCCATGCCATGTCAGGTCTGCCCCCTCTGAGGCTCAGCCCCATTAGACAGTGAACACTCAGTGTAGAATCCATATCTCCTCCTGTTGCCCCTTCTCTGCAGCAGAGTCATGTAGCCGCCAGGCCCCCTCCCTCAGTCGTGGATTTAGGCAGAGATTATTGGTAGCAGATTCTCAGGAAGATTTATTGATTGCCTGACATCCACTGAGTCCTTGGAGTCTGATACTGTCCCTGTCTTTGGTAGGATTCTTTTGGCTAAAGATCAGGGGAGATTAAGTAATTATTTGTTTGTTTATTTTTAAATTTATTTTTGGCTGTGTTGGGTCTTCGTTTCTGTGCGAGGGCTTTCTCTAGTTGTGGCAAGCAGGGGCCACTCTTCATCGTGGTGCGCGAGCCTCTCACTATCGCGGCCTCTCCCGTTGTGGAGCACAGGCTCCAGACGCCCAGGCTCAGTAATTGTGGCTCACTGGCCCAGTTGCTTCGCGGCATGTGGGATCTTCCCGGACCAGGGCTCGAACCCGTGTCCCCTGCATCGGCAGGCAGATTCTCAACCACTGCGCCATAAGGGAAGCCCTTCTTTGTTTATTTTTTATGAAAGTGGAATAAAACATTGAGAACTGTGAAATGAACATCAGCCAGGAGAGTTTCCCAGTGACCTTCATTTTATGTTTTTACCCAAGATAATATTAAGTTGTAATCAGACATTATCTGCCCTGGTTTCTCAGCCTTCTGCTGGCAATGTTTCTCTTTTTGATTTCAAAAGTAGCAGAAGTAGAGACCTTAATCCAGTTCGCTGGACACCCCTCTGGTCTCTGCTTCTCCGGGCAGGGCGAGGTGACCCAAGAACACCTTTTATAACTTGGATGATTGATGGTAAGGACATTCCCCTGAAATATTTGTTATTTGAGGCACAGAAGCAGACTTTCTCTGTTTGCTGATACAAATGTCACATGGTGGAAAACATGCGTAAATTCTCCAGACAGAGGGAGAAAGATCAGAATTCAGCAGAACATCCTGTGCTTTTGTTCCCTTCCCTTGCTGCTATCTTATTTATTTTTTATTTTTGGCCGCATAGGGTCTTAGTTGCGGCATGCAGGATCTTTCACTGTGGCATGCGGGCTTCTCTCTAGTTCTTCTCTCCAGTTGTGGTGTGCACGCAGGCCTAGTTGCCCCATGGCATGTGGGATCTTAGTTCCCTGACCAGGGATCGAACCCGAGTCCCCTACGTTGGAAGGCGGATTCTTTACCACTGAACCACCAGGGAAGTCCCAGCCTTGCTGCTATCTTATCTGTATTATCTTTTGGGGAATGGAGCAGCCAACCCCTGGCAGAGCCGTGCTCAGGAGCAGGGTCCATGTAGGAAGCCCACCCTTCCCAGGGGGAAGGAGATGGTCACAAGGCCAGTTCAGGGTGCCCAAAGCTCACCTGGTCCGTGGACCAGGCCTGACGTGGAGAGAAACTTCCCAAAGACCTGATAAGAAACTGCCGCTCCCACCCCCAGACACAACACTGAACTGCCCACACCCTGGGGGAGGACCGTGGGAGTAATGGTATCCGAAGACAGAGGATACATCTCCTTGCAGCATGGCCTTTGCCCTTTATCTGGAAGCTTTATTTTATCTTTTAATATTTCAAATAGGCCATCACCAAAGTACTTGGGAACTGGGCTGGACTGTGTCGGTTGGCATTGCTGTCACTCCCTGGTGAGGTCTCTGTATTGCAGAGGAGGGGCCAGGGATCCACATGTTCCCAGAATGGACCTTTTACCTGTGGTTCCGGGATCAGTCACTGATGAGAGGCTCTTGGTGAGTTTTGGAAGGGGAGGCCTCTGTTCTTCAGAAGCAGTAGCAGGCAGATGACCGAGCAGCTGTGAGTTTCAGAGCAGAGTCCAGATCACGTCCTGAGAGCCCCCTGCTTCAATGCTGCTGACTGAAGTTGTTAATGATGAATTCCCTGACCTCTCTCCCACTTTGTAATCCTCTGCGTTCAACAAGTACCCTCCCGCCCTTTCTTGGCCGTGCCGCGTGACTTGTGGGATCTCAGTTTCCCAACCAGGGATTGAACCTGTGTCCTCGGCAGTGAAAGCACAGAGTCCTAACCACTGGACTGCCAGGGAATTCCCTTAACCCCTTTGTATACGGTATACATAGAGTAATTCCTGTTTTCCTTGTCGAAACTTGACTATTACAGTAATAGGCCAAATCTCAGAGTTCTTAAATTAACATATTTGATGGGAGAAACATGTGCTCTTCACTTGTCTCATCTGTACCTTTGGTTATAGGGAACCTCCGGAGGGAAAGGCCATTTAAAGGCACCATGTTGGTTAATGGAGCAAGCAGTAAAGTTTGAAAACTTTCAAGTCTTCCATTCACCCTGTTTACTCCTTAATTTTTATCAAAGTAGTCGTGTACATGGTTTAAAAAAAATCAAATTGTTGCTAATGAAATATAAAAAAGCCCCCACCTACGTATGTCATTACACATTTGTGCAAACCCATAGACTTCACAACACCAAGAGTGAACCCTAATGTAAACTGCGGGCTTCATGTGACAATGATGTGTCAGTGTAGGATCATCAGTTGTAACAAATGTACCATCCATGGGGGGCGTTGATAATGGGGGAGGCTCTGCATGTGGTGGGGGGAAGTGGGTATATGGGAAATCTCTGTACCTTCCCCTCAATTTTGCTGCAAACCTACCACTGCTCTAAAAATGTCTATTGAAAAATCCTCCACCTCACCTCTCCCAACTTCAGTCCACTTGTCAGAAATGGCCATTTTTAGCTCTAATTCTTCCGGAAACCTCTAAATAACACATCTTTTCTACTGTTTCCTGGCTCATCAACCATAGATAATATCAACTTCCCATTCTATTAAATGAGATTTCCTCTCATGTGTCTGCCAGTCGGTTGGGGGTTGGCTGATCTAGCTGGGCTTGGCTGGCTAGATCAGCGTCCAGCTGTGGGTCCAGCTGAACTTGGCTCCCTGCTGCAGGTTGGGCTCAGGTCTGCTCCACGTGGACTCCTGCTGGGGTCCAGGATGAAGGGGCAGGAGCTCTTCTCAGGATGATGGCAAAGGCACAAGAGGGAAGGCTCAGCTGCATGAGCACCTTTCAAAATCCTGCCAGCCTTTCATGGTCAAAGCACATCACATGGCCAAAGTCAAGGGTGAAGAAGTGGGCTCTGTCCCTAGTAGCAGGAACTAAACACTCACATGGCAGGGGGCGTGGATACAGAGAAGAGTGAAGAATTGGGGCCACTCATCAATCTACCCTGTTTCTCCTAACTCTGTTTTGTTATAGACCTCTCTGCAAGTAACTGTATTTTAGCTCAAATAATACCACCACACAGCCTTGCCCAATGGTTGGCCTCTTTTAAGTGGCCAACTTAAATACTTGCTGGTTAGTTTCTTAAATCTCAAAATGACCACAGGGTTCTAAGAATTTTGTTAGGTGGTTTAGGCTTGGAGGATGAAGAAAGTTTGGGTGTAGTTTCTTTGACATCAGTGTGCCTTGAAACACCTTTTCTCATTCTCTTCTGTGTAGTGAAGACCATCTTCAGGTGGTGTGTGGACAACGAGTTGCTACAGAAGCATCATTTGATCTGCCCGAATGATTACTACAGCGATACAGTGCCCTTTTGCTCTGCACCTAAAGGTAATGCCTCTGTGCTCTCTTTGTGCTCTCTTCGAGCCTCTGATACCATTCCAGGGAAATTCTGTAGTAGTGGGACCACACCAGCCACCTTTGCTGCTATTTCCTTGTTCATAGATGTTTTTTTCCACTTTTCTTGAATTTGGTAGTGGCTCTTGGGAGGGTCAGCTCTGAGCGTGCCACTTCCTCGCTAGCTCCCTAACATGTACAAGATAAAAGTCTCAGCTCCTCAATGAGGAATCTGACTCTCTAGTCCGTTGCCCAACAACAAGATGTGAAAATGTTTAGAAATGGAGTTGAATGAACCAAGACAGGGAGGGTCTGAAGACATATGAGCCAGGGAGCAAGTTTCTGGTGGAGTCAGAACACGGACCTAGGGGTTCTGCATACCCCTTACAGGCCAAGAGCAACTTTGAGTGTGGAGGGAAGTTTGGGTAGGGAGGCGGAGAAGGATGTGTGTGTGATACTGGGCCAGTTTTCTGTGCTGTAGAGGCAAGATCTTCTGAAAATGAGTGGAGTGGGAGGCTGTGTTGTGGGCTTAAGCAGCAAGGTAGAATTTCAGAAGAGCCGCCATGTAGATCCTGCGGCCAAACATCGGGATGGCGGCCTAGCGGTGCCAGGCTCCAAAGACGAGCTTGTCAGCAGCCCCAGTCAGTGGGACTCTGATGATCTCTGGGGGACCGGAGCTGAGAAGGCATTTGGGTTGGAAGGACTGGGATCCAGAGAATTGAGGGTGCTGACGAGGAAAGAGTTGCACTGACGGCCTGGGCCATGCAGAGAAGTGAGGCCAGAAAGAGGTAGCAGAACCAAGTGCCATGGGGTACTTGACCACTTAGTATTTTATTTTGTTTTATTTTATTTTTATTTTTATTATCATTTTTGGCCGCACTGTGTGGCATGCGGGATCTTAGTTCCCCGACCAGGGATGGAACCCGTGCCCCCTGCAGTGGAAGCATGGGGTCGCAACCACTGGACCGCCAGGGAAGTCCCAAGCCACTTAGTATTTTAAAGTTGGCTGGACACTCAGTATCTTAGGCAGCTCAGTAAGGATGGATTTAACATGTATTGAGGATTTACCTGGCACTGTGCTAGGAAATGTGATGGTACCAGTTTCATTGCATTCCTGCTAGCAATATTGAATGTTCTCATTTAACCTTTCGGAGATGATCTTATAGGTATTAAAAAGCTAATACAAACTTTGATTTGTCATGTGAACCTTTTAAAAAGCATGTTCACATATGATGTACGTGTACATGCGTGTGCGTGACAACGGTCCACTCATGTTCTTGACCATGTTTGGCAACTGAACAAATACATGAACACTCTAGTCCTAAGTCTCGAGGATGCAGAGTAAGTTCCAGGAGTAATTGATACACTGCAGGGCAATTACATCTGGGGTAGGAAATATGAACATTTAGGGGGAAAAGAATACCAAGCTAATTGTGCCTTTGGTGGTTTCATTAAGTCATCTTGGAAGCGTCCACCTCGTCACCTTGGTATAGTAACTTATTTTTTTTCCTGGTGCTACAGGTGCCTTTGTCCCTGGATATTCAAAACTGACATTTAGTTTTGAGAAACGTTCTGTCCCAAAGATAGAGCTGACCAAGAAGCTTGCCTGCAGGAAGATGCCCTCTCAGTCTGAAGAGGAGACAGACTACACCATGGACAGCCTGACATGGGACTCATCTTTTAAGGGCAAACTCAGATCCAGAGCAACTGCCGAGGTGAATGCTGAAGCCTGTGAGTGTGTGGGCGGTGAGGCAGGGCGATGACAAGGGGGAAGGGGCTCCTGGTGACACACAACATTGTGATGAAGCCACAGCAAAATAGAGAGGAGGGTGTCCTTGGCCACCTGTGGATCATGAAGTCGGCAAGATATCAACACACACAGCCCCACCGCTTGTCGTTGACACTATCCTTTTCTCGTGTTTCAAAGAAAACAGGTTCACCGAAGAATAAAAACTGGATGAACCATTTACGTGTGCCCCAGAGGCAGCTGGAGCGGCTTCTGCTCGCCAGGATGGAGAGTCGGAACCGCTTCCTGAAAAACCCTCGCTTTTTCCCTCCTAACACTCCGTTTGGAGGCACGTCTCTTCTCTTTCCTCCCAAGAAGTCAGCACTGATAGGAAAATTCCAGGATGGAGAGCTGGAAGAGAGGTGTGTTTTTTCCTGACTCGTATTCTCAGAAAATCTGACCCTGCAGAGGAAAACTCAGAAGGTCCTGAGTCTGCTTTGGCTTCTGGAGGATCCTAGACGTTTGGGGGCGGGGTGTCAGTGTCCGAATAGAGCAGGGCTTCGGGACTGCCTTCAGGCGTGGCCTTTGGACACCCCCAGAGTCCTGGGTTGTGCTCTTCTGACCTGCCAGTCTTGAGGAATAGGGATTAGTGTTGGCTCTTGTTTATATCTGAATGGTCTGGATCAAGTGGGAGACATTTCTATAGCCTTGTGCTCCTTACATTAAATTCATGTGTCTTGGATAATAAAAATGTTTAAAATCTGTGTAATGACAAATAATTAGTATAAATTGTGATGTTTCTTTAAGAGAGTGCCTTTGGCTATATTTCAATAATTGTCCGTATGAAGGGAATGAGTTGCTTCACTGGTTCATAATTTTAATGGACTTAAAACGATTAATGTTTCTTTATTAAATATCTTTTTATTAAGAAAAATCGGAAAAGATTTGCCAAGAAAACTAGCACCTATATTAAAAACCCAATTAACGTATTGGTGTTTAAGCTTCCAGAGTTTTTCCTCTGCATATTGAAAACGAAATATGTAGATATATGTGTTTTCACAAAGATTTGATCTCGCTGTAAAGCTCTTTTGTGACCTGCTCTAACAACAACAAAAGCCAACAGATGACACATTGCCTATCTCTTTGATGGCTTGGATGTATTTCTTTTCCATGAATCAGTCACATGGATGAAACTAACAGCCTTTCTCACCCTTTCTTGTCCTCCCACAGTTGTGCTGATACTCCAGTGTTTCTAGCTAAGCCCTCAATCGCATTTTTCACAGATTATGAAATTGGACAAGTTTATGAGGTAGGACTCTGGTTTCTTTACACATCCCACTCTGCTTCCTTATTTTTAAAAGTCTTTGCTGTGAAATTTTAAAACCATACACACACACACACACACACACACACACACACACACACACACACAGGCCATACACAAAACTAGGGAAAAGACTGTAAAGAACGCTGATGTGCCCATCACCCAGCTTCAACAGTTACCTACATTCTGCAAATCTGGTTTCATCTGTTATCCTCACAACTTCATGTATGTGTGTCTGTGTGCACATGCATTCACTGGAGTATTTTAAGGAAAAGCTTCGATAGCATGTCATTCTTCAGTTAATACTTAAGTGAGTATCTCTAACAGATAAGGACTATTTTAGTTATTTATTTTTTTTGCGGTATGCGGGCCTCTCACTGTTGTGGCCTCTCCCGTTGCGAAGCACAGGCTCTGGATGCGCAGGCTCAGTGGCCATGGCTCATGGGCCTAACCGCTCCGCAGCATGTGGGATCTTCCCGGACCAGGGCACGAACCCATGTCCCCTGCATAGGCAGGCGGACTCTCAACCACTGTGCCACCAGGGAAGCCCCAGATAAGGACTATTAAAGAATAACCATCATCATACCCAGCAATATTAACAGTGATTCCTTAATATCAACCAATATACATCCACATCTGATTTTTAGCTATTTATTTTTTTTAAAAAGTCAATTTATAATTGGTTTCTTTGAGTCAGAATTCAAACATTGCATTTGGTTAAAGTATCTCTTATTTCTCCCTTAGTTTATAATTGCTGCTCCATCCTTTTCTTTTTAAAAATGCCATTTATTTGTAGAAGAAACTGTAATTTCTTATATTCTGGATTTGGCTAATTGCTTTATTTTTTGTTTTTTTAGTTTAATTTTTATTTTATATTAGAGTACAGTCGATTTACAATGTTGTGTCAGTTTCAGGTGTACAGCAAAGTGATTCAGTTATACGTATACATATATACATTCTTTGTCAGATTCTTTTCCCATATAGGTTATTACAGAATACTGAGTAGAGTCCCCTGTGTTATACAGTAGGTCCTTGTTGATTATCTGTTTTATATGTAGTAATGTATATATGTTATATCCCAAACTCCTAATTTACCCCTCCTCCCACCTTTTCCCTTTGATAACCGTAAGTTTGTTTTCAAAGTCTGTGAGTCTGTTTCTGTTTTTATATAAGTTCATTTGTATCAATTTTTTTAGAATCCACCTGTAAGTGATACCATATGATATTTGTCTTTCTCTGTCTGACTTACTTCACTTAGTATGATAAACTTTAGGTCCATCCACATTGCTGCAAATGGCATTCTTTCATTCTTTTTTATGGCTGAGTCATATTTCATTCTATATAGGTACCATATCTTCTTTATCCATTCATCTGTTGATGGACATTTAGGTTGCTTTCATGTCTTCGCTATTGTAAATAGTGCTGCAGTGAACATTAGGGTGCATATATCTTTTCGAATTATGGTTTTCTCCGGATATATACCCAGCAGCAGGATTGGTGGATTATATGGTAGTTCTATTTAGTTTTAAGGAACCTCGATACTATTCTCCATAATGATGTTACCAATTTACATTCCCACCAACAGTGTAGGAGGGTTCCCTTTTCTCCGCACCCTCTCCAGCTTTTATTGTTTATAGAGTTTTTGATGAAGTCCATTCTGACTGGTTGTAGTTTCGATTTGCATTTCTCTAATAATTAGTGATGTTGAACATCTTTTCATGTGCTTTTTGGCCATCTATATGTCTTCTTTGGAGAAATGTCTATTGAGATCTTCTGCCCATTTTTTTATTTGGTTGGTTTTTTTTTTATGTTGAGCTGCATGAGCTGTTTGTATATTTTGGAGATTAATCCCTTGTCGGTCTCATCATTTGCAAATATTTTCTCCCATTCTGTGGGTTGTCTTTTTGTTTTGTTTATGGTTTCCTTTGCTGTGCAGAAGCTTTTAAGTTTAATTAGATCCCACTTGTTTATTTTTGTTTTTATTTCCATTACTCTAGGAGGTGGATTGAAAAAGATATTGCTGCAATTCATGTCAAAGAGTGTCCTGCCTGTGTTTTCCTCTAAGAGTTTTATAGTATCAGGCCTTACATTTAGGTCTTTAATCCATTTTGAGTTTATTTTTGTGTATGGTGTTAGAGAGTGTTCTAATTTCATTTTTTACCTGTAGCTGTCCATTTTTCCCAGCACCATTTATTGAAAAGACTGTCCTTTCTCCACTGTATGTTCTTGCCTCCCTTGTCACAGAGTAATTGACCATAGGTGTGTGGGTTTATTTCTGGGCTTTCTGTCCTGTTCATTGATCTATATTTCTGTTTTTGTGCCAATACCAAACTGTTTTGATTACTGTAGCTTTGTAGTATAGTCTGAAGTCAGGGAGTCTGATTCCTCCAGATCTGTTTTTCTTTTTCAGGATTGCTTTGGCTATTCAGGGTCTTTTGTGTCTCCATACAAATTGTAAAGTTTTTTGTTCTAATTCTGTGAAAAATGCCACTGGTAATTTAATAAGGATTGCATCGAATCTGTAGATTGCCTTAGGTAGTATAGTCATTTTGACAATATCGATTCTTCCAATCAAAGAACATGGTGTATCTTTCCATCTGTTTGTGTCATCTGCAATTTCTTTCATCAGTGTCCTATAGTTTTCAGAGTACAGGTCTTTTGCCTCCTTAGGCATGTTTATTCCTAGGTATTTTATTCTTTTTGATGTGATGGTAAATGGGATTGTTTCCTTAATTTCTCTTTCTGATCTTTTGTTGTTAGTGTATAGCAATGCAAGAGATTTCTGTGTAATAATTTTGTTTCCTGCAACCTTACCGAATTCACTGATGAGCTGTAGTAGTTTCCTGGTAGCATCTTTAGGCTCTTCTGTGTATCGTATCATGTCATCTGCAAACAGTGACAGTTCTACTTCTTTGCCAATTTGGATTCCTTTTATTTCTTTTTCTTCTCTGATTGCCATGGCTAGGACTTCTAAAACTATGTTGAATAATGGTGGTGAGAATGGACCTCCTTGTCTTTTTCCTGATCTTAGAGGAAATGCTTTCAGTTTTCCGACGTTGAGTATGATGTTAGCTGTGGGTTTGTCATATGGCCTTTTTTATGTTGAGGTGAGTTCCCTCTATGCCCACTTTCTGGAAAGTCTTTATCATAAATGAGTGTTGAATTTTGTCAGAAGCTTTTTCTGCATCTATTGTGATGATCATATGGTTTTTATTCTTCAATTTGTTGATGTGGTATATCACACTGACTGATTTGTGGGTATTGAAAAATCCTTGCATCCCTGGGATAAATCCCACTTGATCATGATGTATGATCCTTTTAATGTATTGTTGGATTTGGTTTGCTAGTATTTTGTTGATAATTTTTGCATCCATGTTCATCAGTGATTTTGGCCTGTAATTTTCTTTTTTTGTAGTATCTTTGTCTGGTTTTAGTATCAGGGTGATGGTGGCCTCATAGAATGAGTTTAGGAGTATTCCTTCCTCTGCAATTTTTTGGAAGAGTTTCAGAAGGACAGATGTTAAGTCTTTAAATGTTTGATAGAATTCTCCTGTGAAGCCTTCTGGTCCTGGACTTTTTTGTTTGTTGGAAGTTTTTAAACTACAGCTTCAATTTCAGTAATTGTGATTTGTCTGTTCATATTTTCTATTTCTTCCTGGTTCAGTCTTGGAAGGTTGTACCTTTCTAAGAAATTGTCCATTTCTTCTAGGTTGTCTATTTTATTGGCATATAGTTGCTTGTAGTAGTCTCTTATGATCCTTTGTGTTTCTGTGGTGTCCATTGTCACTTCTTCTTCATTTCTGATTTTATTGATTTGAGCCCTCTCCCTTTTTTTCTTGATGAGTCTGGTTAAAGGTTTATCAATTTTGTTTATCTTTTCAAAGAACTGACTTTTTTGTTTCATTGATCTTTTCTATTGTTCTCTTCATCTCTATTTCATTTATTTCTGCTCTGATCTTTATGATTTCTTTCCTTCAACTAACTTTGGTTTTTATTTTAAAAATTTTAATTAATTAATTAATTATTTTTTGGCTGTGTCGGGTCTTAGTTGTGGCACGTGGGGCCTTCGTTGCAGCATGTGGTATCTTTCATTGCAGTGCGTGGGATCTTCATTGCGGCGCACAGGCTTCTTTCTAGTTGTGGCATGCAGGTTTTCTCTCTCTAGTTGTGGCGCGTGGGCTCCAGGGTATGTGGGCTCTGTAGTTGTGGTGTGCGGGCTTAGTTGCCCTGCAGCATGTGGGATCTTAGTTCCCCAACCAGGAATCGCACCCGTGTCCTCTGCATTGGAAGGCAGTTTCTTTACCACTGGACCACTAGGGAAGTCCCTAACTTTGGGTTTTGCTTGTTCTTCTTTCTCTAGTTGCTTTAAGCACAACGTTAGGATGTTTATTTGAGATTTTTCTTCTTTCCTGAGGTAAGAGTGTATTGCTATAAACTTCCCTCTTAAAAGTGCTTTTGCTGCATCCCATAGGCTTTGGACCATTGTGTTTTCATTTTCATTGGTCTCTAGGTAGTTCTTTATTTCCTCTTTGATTTCTTCAGTGATCTGTTGGTTGTTTAGTAACATATTGTTTAACCTCCATGTGTTTGTGTTTTTTAGTTTTTTTCTTGTCATTGATTTCTAATCTCATAGTGGAACAGCTGTACTTCTCTGTCTTTTCATTTTGTCTAACTTTCTGTGTTTGTGGCCTCCATTCCTCAGGCTGCAGGATTATAGTTCTTGCCTCTGGTGTCTGCCCCCTGGTGTGTGAGGTTGGTCCAGGTGCTTGTGCAGGCTTCCTGGTGGGAGGGACTGGTGCCTGCCCACTGGTGGGTGGAGCTGGGTCATATCCCTCTGGTGGGCTGGCTCGTGTCAAAATTTGTGTTTATAAGCAGCTGTGGGGTCAGGATGTCTTTAGGCAGCCTGTCTTCTGGTGGGTGGGCCTGTGTTCCCACCCTGTTGGTTGTTTGGCCTGAGATGTCCCAGCACTGGAGAAGTGCAGGCT